TATCAGATTTTGCTATGCTACAGGTCACTTTCTTTGAAGATAAAAACATTATAAAGTCTAGTATTGTAGTATCTCCTTTTCTCTATTATTTCTCAAAGATTATCATTAGAAGTTTTGAAATTTAGGCTCTTAACTCTCTCTTTGAAAAGTTTGTTTTTTTCCACTATTTCCAGTTGGAAGATGATTTTTCTTATTGAATCATCAAATAGAAACAAAATAGAACTTGAGTGCCTCTATCTTACATCTTATTACTATACCAACTCTCCCACATACTCAGTATAAGACCCCTTTCTTGTTTTAGGTACTGTTTTTCAAAACCGTTTAAACAATCTGTCCCATATTTTTGCAGGTCTCTGTTTCTTATGGGCTTGAACCTCCATGATGCTATTCTTAAGACTTTGTACCATTTCTGTAACAGTGCTTGGTACATGAATTTACTGTTTGGTTGTTTTTTGGTTCATGTCCCTCAGATGTCAGAACTTATCAGACAACTTTGCCTTATTTATAAGATTTATATTTTTAAAACCTTTCAACTATACTGAGTTGTACTTTTTATAAATAAATTTCAGAACTCATTGGTCCTTCACAAGTGGACTTACTTCATCCTAACTTTCATAACTAGCATTCAAAATAGTAACTGCTTAAGTACATTAGCCAGATGTTAATTTGGTTTGAGGAATTGCAGCTGAAGTACTTTTTCCTTTGTGCTTTTCTATATTTTAAAAAATTAGCTGCTTACTATTATCAATACCAAATAATATTAGTTAGCCACATATGGAAAAATGTGGTCCTTTTGTTATTTTTTTTTATTGGCTGGCCCATGTGACTTATGAATGTTTTATTTAAGCTGTTGATTTCTAGTCATCTTAAAAGTTTCAAGTTAGTATAAAAACAACATCTTTCAGAAATTTCTATAGTTTAGTCTTACCAAAATTATGGATTCTTAGTCATGAGTTTAGAAAGCTTTTTCAAAAAATATTAAGGTTATCCTTCCTACCCCTTCCTTGTTGTGTTCATCTCATTTGTTTAAACAATGATAGGATAGTTCTAAGAATAATGATCTAAGGGAAACGACGGAATTCTAGATGTGCCCATGTCTGAACTACAATTTGTTTAAGGTTCAGCAGACAGGTAGAGACTAGGGATTTTTATTTTTTATATCTGCAAGAAGGTTTGTTATTTTTTTCTTTAGTATTGACTTATGAACATCCAGATACTTCATGTGTTGTGTATGACATTAAATCCTATTACCAGTATAGATTCCCTTTTTTCCCACAAACCAGATTATCATATGTTTATGGGATTAACTTTTATTTTGTCATTGTGAACTTAAAAAAGATCCATCTGAAGTTGGATGGAATTTTAGATTGTTTACTACCAGTTAATTTAGAGCAGGGGTCGTCAAACTTTTTAAACAGGGGGCCAGTTCACTGTCCCTCAGACCTTTGGAGGGCCAGACTATAGTTTAAAAAAAAACGATGAACAAGTTCCTATGCACACTGCACATATCTTATTTTGAAGTAAAAAAACAAAACGGGAACAAATACAATATTTGTATTTGCATGTGGCCCACGGGCCATAGTTTGAGGACCCCTGATTTAGAAGTAAAATGCAGTTTTAATGCTGAGTTTATAGTAGAAAGAAATGTTAGTAGAGATGTTTCATAGTGCATATTTTCCCCCAAATAAGTCAGATTTTAGGAAGCATGGTATACAGAATTCTGAAAAAAAAAATTTTTCTAATCAACAAAGGCAATAGTTCATACCCTTTCTAGAGGCAACTTAGAAGTAAATCAACAAGAAGACATCCTTGATTTTTAAGAGCAGTATAAATGATGTTGAATTATAAGAAGGAGATGGGCAGATAAATGAGTTTCACATCCATAGTCACATGCATCAGAAATTAGAATGATGAAGGATTGGATCCCAACAAGGATTTTAAGGACTAAATAGCCATGCCTTTGTGAAGGGTTCCACATAAAATAAAAACAATCTCTCCAAGAACACAGGTTCCAGTAAGAAGGCAGAGCAGTTAATTAACTCTAGGAATTATGTAGAGGTTTTATAACTTGTGGACTTTTGAGGAAATATGTGATTTCATTACATTTCTTAAGAGTTTTATTTAAGTATAATTAATATACCAAAATATTGCATGTTTAATGAATTCAATTTGATGCATTTGGACATAAGCAAGTACCTGTGATACTATCACCACAATAAGGTAATAAACCTATATCCATCACCTCCAAAACAAAATTAAGAACTCAAAATGTAATAATAATTGAGGACAATGTTTTGTAATATAGGTCTACTAATTTAAAAAATGGCATTCTTTTGGGGGTTTACATTTTCTTAATTGGGGTTAAACATATTCCTTATCATCAAAATCATGTGCAGGTATACATCTAGTGCTCCTGACATAAAATGAGATTTTCCATATTTCATCTTTGAAAATGTCCTTTCACAATATAGGTATTGCTATGTAATCAATCCAGAAGCATATAATTTTTTTAAAATAATCTTTTTAATTGATTTCAGAAAGGAAAGGAGAGATAAACATCAATGATGTGTGAGAATCATTGATTGGCTGCTTCCTGCTTGCTTCATATTGAGGATCGAGCTCGAAACCCAGTGTGCCCCGACCAGGAGTTGAACCGTTACCTCCTGGTTCATAGGTTGGCACTCAACCACTGAGCTAAGCTGGCTGGGCCAGAAACATATAATTTTAATGAAGCATACTCATCCCTTAGAAAGAATTTATAGAATTCTGTTGGACTCTTCATGTTTACCTTTTAACATATTACACTGCAGTTACTACTTTCAATTGAAGGTTAGGTGGAAGGTCCTCAGTTGCACAGTTAAATGGATTTTTGAAATAAAGAAATTTTACTTTTATTTACTTTTATTTAAGGTCTAAAAAGTGCTTCTGAAACTGTAGTTTGTGCTTATAAAATATATCTACTACAAATTTGTATGGGAATGCAGCTCTCATTTCTTGGATAGCACAAGTGCATATAAAGCAGCTTGACTTTGTGATTCCAGTGGTATTGTTGAAATGACTTACTGCAGGATAAGTTTTACATATAAGCACTATTTTGCCATGTAATTTTAAATGTGTTTTTTTTTATTGATTTCAGAGAGGAATTGAGAAGGAGAGAGAGAGATAGAAATATCAGTGATGAAAGAGAATTATCCATTGGCTGCCTCCTTCTGCACACCTTGTATCAGGGTTCAAGTCCGCAATCCGGGGCATGTGCCCCCACCAGGAATGGAACCTTGACCTCCTGGTTCATAGGGTGATGCTCAATCACCGAGCCACATCGACTGGGCTGCCTTGTTATTTTAGGTTGAATTCATTAAGAACATTATGAATCCTTTAGCAAAAGCTAAATTCTCACACTGTTATTTTGTAATGGTAATTGGGGATGGTTCTTATTGGGGAAAATTTTTGATTTTGGGCCTGGGTACAACAAATCACAATAAAACTTTACCAATGATAAGCTATCAAAATGAACAAGTGATGAAGTAAGTCAAGATACTTAGTTTCTGTGTCTGACAAAAAATTCATGGAACTGATGATGGTTAAGTCCACAATAATGAAGCTTGCCATTCACACTATTGGTTCAATAATACGATGGATTTAAATATTTTCTGCAAACTCCCTGCTGATGAATAATATAGTGAATAACCATAGACTTAGATAACTTATATTTTCGCAAGGTTTGTAAATTTTTGTTTCACACATTTTACCACTATTTCAGTTGAAATACATCTTAGCAAATTCTACTTTAGGTTGTACTGAATTAGTGTTTTCTCAACTTCTTTGGAAACATGATCACCTGTAGTGGTTCCATGAAGATTTATAGAGGCTACTTCTAAATCTCAAACTTCTTGAATAATCCACACTTGACTCCTAGCATACAGTTGTGGACTTATTATTAGCCAAGGAAAACCACTCAAAATCATTTGCTGCCTTGTTTTTCAATTGTTTATTGATGTGTCCCAATATCTTCAAATTTCTGAGCAATTGTACTCATTAAAACACTAATAATTTTAAACAACTTTATTTTCTTTGTACACATTTCTTTAGCTTCTGCCATCAAATGCAGTTTAACTCAACATCAGTAAATGATTTTCCTTGCTTAGCCAGCAAATGAGCCACTGGAAACTTGGTTGAAGCCTTGTTTTTTATTTTTGTGAAGAAATATTTTGTGAATAGCTATTTTATTTTAAGTTTTCCAATTTTTTACACTGTAGTTTCCCTGTGAATTAGGAATGATAATATCATTAGTCTGGTAATATCAACGTATATTTCATTACTTAAGCACAGTTAATGTGCCATTGCATAATAAACAATCTTTACCGTCTAATCTGATAAAATAAGCCTCATTCTGTGCCTTTAAGGGTGGCATTTTAAGTCCACCTTCTTGATATGATGTGATAAGTGTGCATCTGTAACTTCAAAAATGTCACAGTATGGTGATGTACATGGCATTGAAATGCTGTCAAATTATAATTGCATCACTACAACTTATAATGCCCAGCTCACCATTGTAAAGCAGTGATAGTGCCACATTTAGTCTGTCTGTCACAACTATTAAACTTTGTCATTATATCATAAAAGCCATAGACAATATGTAAATGAATGTATTTTACTATTACAATAAAATAAACACTGAAATTTGAATTTCATATAACTTACATCAAAAAATTCCTTCAAAATAAACATTTAAAAGTGTAAAAACCATTTGTGGATCTCAACAAGAAAAAAATAGGCACCAGAGCTTAATTTGGCCTTGGGCCATAGTTAGCCAACCCCTGACCTAGTCTTTTCCTAGTAAAATAGGGATTTGGGGGAGTTTTTCTATTATGAAATTTTACTCAGATGAGGTCTTAAAATTTACATCTTGACCTATATTCTGGATTTTCACATAATTGAAAATGTTTTATAGGATACATACTGACTTCTGTTTTCAAGATTGATTTCCTTTCTCCTTTTAGATAATTTTCCACTTGTTCATCAAGATGGAAAGCTCAGATTCTAACGATAAAGGAAGTGGTGATCAGTCTGCAGCACAGCGCAGAAGTCAGATGGACCGATTGGATCGGGAAGAAGCTTTCTATCAATTTGTCAATAACCTGAGTGAAGAAGATTATAGGCTTATGAGGGATAACAATTTGCTAGGCACCCCAGGTACGTGATAATGTAGTTTAAGAATTTATATATGTAATTTCTTGGTCTTTTAAAAAAATAGCCTGTTTTGAAAATCAGTTTCTTTAGCCATTATGAAGTATGATTTTAATGCAAGGCATATAGAATGACATTTACTACTATATTTATTAATTCTGTTCACTTATATTTGGAATTACCCTATATCATATTTTTAGTTATGAATTACATTATGAATTTATGGTGAGCTTATTTGAAAATAGTGGAGCTGAACAATTTTTTAAAAATTTATTTTTATTGACTTCAGAGAAGAAGGGAGAGGGAGAGAGAGATAGAAACATCAAAGATGAGAGAATCATTGATTAGCTGCCTCCTGCATACCCCACACTAGCGACCAAGCCCACAACCTGGGCATGTGCCCTGACTGGGGATTGAACCATGACCTCCTGGTTCATAGGTCGATGCTCAACCACTAAGCCATGCTTGCTGGGCTGAACCATATTTTTGTTGGCTTATTTAACTTCTAAGCATGAGTCTAATTGTGGAAGAGCTAATGGGAATTTTAGTTCCTAGGACAGACTTACTCTCTTTTGTTATTACTGATTCCCTGAATATGTCCCAGTCATAATCCTCCAGAGCTAGCCTTCGGTAAAATTACCAATTATTCAGAACTTTGTGCTTGGCTGTTAGGTCCCATTTGATCATAGTTAAAATTCATTATTTTTCATAGTTCTTATTTCTATTTAATTTTACTAATCTTTGAGTGATTGCTTAAATTTTAAAAGGTCAGGTGTTGGTTAGTGAAAGGAAGTACATTTTGAATCATCAATACCAGGTTTCATTCAGAATATCTAAGTTGGGCTTCTGGTCCTGCCATTTATTAGCATGTCAGTTTCTCACTCAGTATCAGTTTTCTTGTTTTAAAATACAGATGGTAATATCTACCTCCCAGACTTGCAATTGTAATGAATGAGGTAATATAGGCAAAAGCATTCAGTAAACTACAAGAAATTTGTACAAATATCAATTGTAAAGTCATGCTCCCAAAGAAATGAATTTTACCCAAGTTTCCTACTCCTTGGTTTTCATCTCAGATGGGTAAGAGTCATTGGTTTTTATTTGTAATTTGGCAAACATTTTAAAACTATTTTCAGGTGAAAGTACTGAGGAAGAGTTGCTGAGAAGATTACAACAAATTAAAGAGGGCCCACCACCACAAAACTCAGATGAAAATAGAGGTATATTTTGCTTTGCAGGGGGTGGGTAGAGGATGGAATGGATAAAAAACATAACAGTAAATGTCAGCTAAAGATTATCCAGAAATGATATAAAGTAATTTGGTGCTAAGTTACCTGCTCATAAAGAGAACTGGCATTGTCTTGATATTTGGTAAGAATGTGAACGTAGGGTGTCTTTTTTTTCTGCTTTATCTTTGGTTTGTTTGTGTTAATTATGGCATTGTGAGAAATGGCATATTTAAATGTAATTTCTTGATTTTCCACATCCATTGAAATATCCTTCTATCTACTGAATTATTCCTTTTTTTTTTTTAATAAACATCTGAGTTCCTCACCAGCAGAAAGAAATGCTGTATTCTCTAACCTGGCCATTCTCAACAGGGTTTAATTTTGCCCCTTATGGGACATTGGCCATGCCTGGAGACATTTTTGTTTGTCAGTACTGGAAGTTTGTTATTGGCATCTAGTGGGTGGAAGCTAGGGATACAGATAAACATCCTAACTAACGTCCTGATGTTTTTTTCTCAATGTGAAGTAGAGAATTTCACCATCTAACCTAAGAGGCTATGATAACAGTCTGGTCTTGAATGTGCCATTATATGTATTGTGCTAGGTTCAGACTATTCATTTGGTCTGATGTCCAATTTCATGTTAAGAATCTTGGTAACATGAAGAAATAATTTAAACATTTTCAAACCTATAAACCTTGTTTATGTTATATTTTTGCAATGGCTACAGCAGTCTTGTATTTTAAAATGTCTTATATTATCAAAGTCACTTAAATCAAGAGTCTAGAAGAAATGTTACAGGCTAATGAAAATTTGACAGAAATGTAATTTGAACTAAAATTCTAGCTCTATACCTTAACTTGTATTTACCTTGTTTGATTACAAGAGTGTCTTGACAGTGAACTGAAAAATATTGTCTTCTGACAATCCACAGTAATATGGTAGGCTCTTTATATAATAGACTTTCTCCAGATTCCCTTTAAGAAAATTCTCTAAATTTTGTGGTTTTTTTAAAATTATTTTTTAATATATTTTATTGATTTTTTTTTACAGAGAGGGATAGAGAGTTAGAAACATTGATCAGCTGCCTCCTGCACGCCCCCTACTGGGGATGTGCCTGCAACCAAGGTACATGCCCTTGACCAGAATCGAACCTGGGACCCTTCAGTCCACAGGCTGACGCTCTATCCACTGAGCCAAACCGTTAGGGATAAATTTTGTTTAGATTAGCTTGCACTTTCAAAATGAAATTGAAATTTCCCTGCCTTTACTTGCAAGTCTATGTAGTACTGTTTACAGAAATCTATAAATTTGAAATCTGTTCAGAGTCTGTTCTTTTTTTTTTTCTAATACAAAGTTTCTGAGCACTATTACATGATTCTCCTAATTTTAATAGTTCCTTTTCTCTTTTAAAAACAGGTGGAGAGTCTTCAGATGATGTGTCTAATGGTGACTCTATAATAGACTGGCTTAACTCTGTCAGACAAACTGGAAATACGACAAGAAGTGGTCAAAGAGGAAACCAATCTTGGCGAGCAGTGAGCCGGACTAATCCAAACAGTGGTGATTTCAGATTCAGTTTAGAGATCAATGTAAACCGTAATAATGGGAGTCAAAACCCAGAGAATGAAAATGAGCCATCTACAAGACGTTCTAATGGAGAAAACATGGATAACAGCCAAAGGCAAGTGGAAAATCCACGATCTGAATCAACATCTGCAGGGCCATCTAGATCAGAACGCAATTCAACTGAAGTATTAACAGGAGAAGTCCCATCTACTAGAGGTCAAAGAAGAGCAAGAAGCAGAAGCCCCGACCACCGGAGAACCCGAGCAAGAGCTGAAAGAAGTAGGTCACCTCTGCATCCAATGACTGAAATTCCACGGAGGTCTCATCATAGTATCTCATCTCAGACTTTTGAGCATCCTTTGGTAAATGAGACTGAAGGAAGTTCTAGAACCCGCCACCATGTGACACTAAGACAGCAAATAAGTGGACCTGACTTGCTAAGTAGAGGTCTTTTTGCAGCTTCCGGAATAAGAAATGCCTCACAGGGAGCAGGTTCTTCAGACACAACTGGTAATGGTGAATCTACAGGATCAGGACAGAGACCTCCAACCATAGTCCTTGATCTTCAAGTAAGAAGAGTCCGTCCTGGAGAATATCGGCAGAGAGATAGCATAGCTAGCAGAACTCGGTCAAGGTCTCAGACGCCAAACAACACGGTCACTTATGAAAGTGAACGAGGAGGTTTTAGGCGTACATTTTCACGTTCTGAGCGGGCAGGTGTGAGAACCTATGTCAGTACCATCAGAATTCCAATTCGTAGAATCTTAAATACTGGTTTAAGTGAGACTACATCTGTAGCAATTCAGACCATGTTAAGGCAAATAATGACAGGTTTTGGTGAATTAAGCTACTTTATGTACAGTGATAGTGATTCAGAGCCTAGTGGCTCAATCTCAAGTCAAAATATGGAAAGGGCGGAGTCACGGAATGGAAGAGGGGGTTCTGGTGGTAATAGTAGTTCTGGTTCCAGTTCCAGTTCGAGTTCCAGTCCTAGTTCTAGTTCTAGTGGTGAAAGTTCAGAGATTAGCTCAGAGGTGTTTGAAGGTAGTAATGAAGGAAGCTCATCATCAGGCTCATCAGGTGGCAGGCGAGAGGTTCGACACAGAGCCCCAGTAACATTTGATGAAAGTGGCTCTTTGCCCTTCCTTAGTCTGGCTCAGTTTTTCCTCTTAAATGAGGATGATGATGACCAACCTAGAGGACTCACCAAAGAACAGATTGACAATTTGGCAATGAGAAGTTTTGGTGAAAACGATGCATTAAAAACCTGTAGTGTTTGCATTACAGAATATACAGAAGGCAACAAACTTCGTAAACTACCTTGTTCCCATGAGTATCATGTCCACTGCATCGATCGCTGGTTATCTGAAAATTCTACTTGTCCTATTTGTCGCAGGGCAGTCTTAGCTTCTGGTAACAGAGAAAGCATTGTGTAATTAAGGTCTGAGCTCTCAGCTATGTACCTGGTATAGTGATGGGCAAACAGGAATCACTTGCTTTATGTCCACTTTTTGAGTGGTGCTTGTAAAGTTGCAACCTGAATTGAGTCATTGCTTTCTGAATGAATCGTTGTCCTGTTTCCAATTTCTGTTCCAGAATAAAAGGAAATATTTAAAAAGCAATGTTTTAGGACATAAAATCTAATTTCAGCATCAGTAATTGATATACTAATGATTTATTATATATGTTTATTAGTTTCTCCTTTGTTATCTTAAAAGATCTGTCTTAGCAATGGCTATTTCATGTTGATTTTTAAAATTTCCCATGCCATAGGAGAGAAGGGCTAAGGAAATTACCAGTTTAGACTAAGTTACAGTACATGTTTTATAAGTGATTGCTTAAAGCTTCACCATTCCCAGTTATTAGTTGGCACAAATTTAGCTACATGCTGACTATCATTTGTTCACCTTTTAGGCAAGGTGATATTGGACATGTCAGTGTAAATAACACTAAGGTTAGATCTTCTAAGTGTATAACTGTCTTCTAAGCCCATCACTGTGGCACACTGTAGAGTGAGCTTATAGTTTAATTAAGATGTTTATCTTGTGGAAATATTAAAAAAGCCTATGCTTGTGTAAGTGAAAAAAATCACATTCATTTGTTTAAAAATGTAAAGCTATTTTGTAGAGGCTCAGTACTTTTCCAATGCACTGTTGTAATAATGCATTACAAATTGTAAAGTACCATGCATAGAAATGAAAAAAACTGCTTTTCGTGAGCCAATATAGTAAAAAAAAAAATCACACCAAACAAAGTACAAAGCTCCTTTTGTAAGTGTGTACATGTCAAGAGCAGAACATATCTATAATATTTAATGTATATGAACAGCTACTGTGACATTGCAAAGTAAAGGTCAGAGTGCAGAATTGAACTACATTGAAGGCCAATGGAAATTGTGTGTTTTAACTTGGATTTAGGCAGAAAATGAAAGACGGGGGGCGGGGGAGACTACTACTCTGGAAGAATTTAAACTTTTTCATGAAGACAGTATAAACATACTGGTTTCATATGGTGAAATCTTCGACACAGTATTCTACTTGAGCAGATGAAGTAGATGAACAAATTAGGCAGAGCTTTTGCTTTAACAAAAACAAGCCACTATGACCTAGTATAATTTACATTGTTGTTTTTACAAGTCTCTGCAAAAAAAAAAAAAGATAGCAAAAAAATAAAAAGATCGTAAACCACTTTTAGCCTAAAAATTGGTAGAGATGTGTATACTAATAAGAAAGTCTCGAATTTGCATTGTTTTCAAGATTTGTCATTTAAGGTACCAGTGCACACTTGGTAGTATTTCATTGCTGTCTAACACAACCTAATATTTCACATTTAAAGACCGGTTGAGTAGTTAAGAGATTTTCTTTTTGAAAGTGAGTCATGTTGGGTTATTTGAAATTCAAATTTCAGTTGTGCTGCCCATATTTGAAGATGAGACCACTGACTTATGATCCATGGGTTATGTACTTTATGTTGTTTCCTTAGTAGTAACAATAGGTTTGTGAAAAGAACCTCAGCACTCTTGCCGAATTTTTCTTTCGAGGCTGGTTGGGGTTTGGATTAGTCTGATTGTGGAAGACTGTGTTTGTTTATTTGGAAAAAGCTAATGGGTCCAAAGAGGAATTGAACACATCCTTGGCCTTTAACAAAGTGAGCTGACTACCCTGGCATTATCAGATACTCAACAAAATAAACAATTCTGCTTTTAGGAACTATCTAGTTACCTTAACTGCTATCAATTTAGCTGTAAAGATGATTTCAAAGCTCATATTTTCATGTTTTCTTCTTGCTTTCAATCCTACCTAAGTATCAAGGAAATGAACTTGTAAATGTGGTAGTTGTTTGCTAAGGATATGTACTGCTCTTGCAAGGAAGTAATGTTCAAACAAAGGTTCACTTATTTTTTTTAATATAAGCAGAAATCACTGTTTATGGCGCTTATATAATACATGTTATCTTTTTAAAAAATTGTCCATGTAAAAGTCAGAATTCCTTTATATTTGTGAGCCTCCTTGTCTCCTTTCCGAAGGGTATGTAATCTGGTTTTCAGATCTGCAGGATAGTCCTGATTGGCTAAAAACAAACCCATATTCCTCATGGCATAAAATGTCCCATTATTATAGGGGTGTTCCATTTTATATAGTTTAAAAACAACAGCTCGTTCTAAGCATAAAAGTTACTGAAAACAGGTATCTCCCAAAATGTATTATTCTATTACTCATTTGTGAAGTATTAAAGTAAGAACTCATGCTGAGTTCTGGTTATGAAGGTAGATATTGAACCTATTCATAAATACTGGAAATAGAATTTTAAGTTTATAGCCCTCAGTAGAATGCACATATTGGGCATGTGCATGTGAACATCTTTTTCAATAGCATTCATTGATTTCCATTAGATTGTATAGAATGGATAAAAAAATTGAGTGGAATTAGCTTTTTTTTTTTGCAAGGCCCATGACTAATAAGTACTTACTGGTACTGGTGGACATTGAAGACAATGTCAGATGTACAGTGGAGAAGAAAGATCTTTTTTACTACCAGCATCCAAACACCTACTCCCTTAAGGGAGCATTTTCTTGCAAAAGACTTTACATATTTTGTATTTTTGCACTTTTTTCTTTATTAAAGAAAGATTCTTTCCGGGAACTTCATGCAGTAATAGGAGCAAGATAAAACAATGTTGGGAGTTTACATTGTTCAAAGCATAGGGGAAAGTACTAAAATCTGAATTTCTTTGAATATTTCAGATATTTTAAAAAATACACTTACTAGTCTGAAGCATTTGAGATGTTATGTTGTTTAACTCCAAGCAGCTGATAAAGCTGCAGTTTATTAGTACTACAAACAAAATTGAACAAGTTAGGTTTAAAGTTTTCAGACTTTGTAGCAATACTAGATGAACCATGTTAATTTTGAGTATTGCTCTCAAAAGAACACATTAGTCATACGTTAGTGGTTAATGGAGGCGGGAATTGAGAAACGTGTTCACATTAGTGTTGCAATGTAGGGAATAATTGGGCAGTTAACAAGAAAAATGTTTAATATATATATATATATATATGAAATATCTAAAAATATCATTGGAGTTTATCCAAACTTTAAGATTAGGAAACTGGTTATCTATAAGGGTTACCTCAAGTAATTTCCCCCCCTGGGAAAAATATGTCCTCTCCATGCCAAGTATTCAGTGTCTCAAATTATATTTATGAAGGATTATCACTTAATATGCTTTGTATTGAACCACCTGCTTCCCAAATATCCATGATAGCCATGACTTCAGTCAGTTCCCAAAATACCCATGTGATAGGGAGGTGAATGTTGCAAAATGCCTCCTAAAAGGCCATTTTTACAGCTTGCTAGAATACAGCGGTACCTCATAGTTGTTGATACTTTTAAAGATGGAGGATATTTTTACCCTCCTCCCCTTCTCTTTTGTTCTTTTATAAGTAATCTGCCTTTGAATTTTTAAGTTTTACCTTACTGGCTTACCTGTCAAATGTATTACCAACATTAAGTACTTAGAAACCATGTTTGCAGGGCACTTTTATTCATGGCTTATAAGACTATGCTGATTGCTACTTTTTAAAGTATTCTGTACCTTAGTAATGCAAGAGATTGAAAAGGCACATGTTCAAGTGTCAGGCGTTTTCTTCCTTAGTAGAATTCTTCAGGATGTTTTATATTCAATAATAGTGTTGTAATTCATTGAGTTAACTTAGTAAATTGTATGCTTTTGAAAACATTTGAAAATGTAAATCAATATAACATGCTTTATTTGTAAAATTAAAGTTCAAGGTCCAAAGAACTAGTATAAAACTTAGTTTTAAATCAGATTTTAATAACTAAGAAACAGCTATGAAAACAGCTGTAAAACTTTTATCATCCTGAAATTGAGTTCTTAACTGGACATTTCTAAAATAATATCTAATATTCCCAGTAAGTGATTATCTCACTTGATTTAAGTAAATCCATTTTATATCTAAAACAGCATATAATAGGGCTATTACTGAAGTGTTGGAACTTACAAGAGATAACAACAGTTTATTAGTTTTATGATTTTCATTTCTATGTAGGTGTTTTAATTCAAATTTGAAGGAAATAGGCATACCCTCTAACACTCAAATAAAATTATAGTGAGGTGTTTGTTTTTTATTAGTATTTCTTTTGCTAAAGACCCACAAGTTGCTTTATGGTCACTTGGATTGAGTGATAACTTAAATATATGTAGTGAAAGCAAACCCATAATACCACTGTGCCTAATTATTTCAGGGTTCCTCTATCAGTTCCTCATCTTGCAGATTTATTCCAATACCAACGTATGGTTGAACCAGCTCCCCAGCCTTAAATCCCTTTAGTGCCCCTCTGCTAACATTCTTTTAACTGATTGATTTGTATGTGTTTTAACTATCCAGTGATTGGATTTTACCTCTTGATAGGTCCATTTGTCCTTGGTGCTGCTTTTAAATATGTAGGGCTATGTGATCAGGTATCAAGTTCAGTAGGTACACAGTTGGCCTGGATATGTATCTGCCTGTTTTATCTTCTCCCAGGAAGAGCTTCTTTGGTATAGATGTTTACGTGGGTTCATATAAAGAACTGGGCTACAATCTTGGGAAGCTTTCTGAAGTCTAAGAACTGAAAGGACTTGGAGGGGGGATCGTAACAAAGGCTGCCTTTACGTCTTTGAACACGAAGCACATAAATGTCCATTCTGTGACGACGAAAGTGATTGTTACACCAGGGCTTCCTGACCTCTGGGAGAGACTTGCAAAAAAGCAGAAAGGAGCACAAAGTGAAGTTATTTTGGTTAGTTTGCTTTATCTGGTTTCTCATTTTCTTTAAATTTAAACCTGAACATAACACCCTTCTCCAATATCTAGCCAGCAGACTCCTGGTTGGGAAGCCCTGTATTAAAATTTGAGAATGTACCCAGTTTCCTTTTTTTGTACAGTGCTTTTACACCTGCTAAAAATTAACTTGTTTAATGCAAAACAAGACGTTGGAAGGTCAGTCATATTAAAGCTGGTTTGATTATTAATAGTTATCTTTTAGGAAGAAGCTTTTTCCCTATGTAAGATGTCATACTGCAGATTTAAAATATAGACTATCAATAAAATGCATGAAGTGATCATTTGTGCTTGATCATCTCTCCTTGGCTTTTTTCTTAAAAAGGGGAATTTGATAAAGGTCTGTTTCAAACTGATGTCAAATGCACTTGATTTTTAGAATCGAGTGGAATTATAGCACAACCTTGATTTTTATTACCTTCACTGCTGAGTGTGGGCAGGTACTGGTTTATGGGATATAACTTCTGTTTTATGTTGTGTAGTTTAATGGCTTAATCTTGGAGTGGTAAAGTAAAAAGATGAAAGTATATTCCAATATAAGAATCCTGGAAAGATTTATGTAAATGACATTTTAATAGGTGTATCTTCGCTGTTTCTACTTTTACCATTGCCCTGACCACTCCTTTGCTTGACCTCTAAATACAGACTTGTCTTGGTGTTCATGTATGCTCATGCAGCTTTTATCTTCCATTGCCATTTCCAACCTCTTAAACATGTTGCTTAAGCCACTAAGATGTCCTTGTTTCTAAGTGGGTTGTCACGTTCTAATACCTGAGTGGCCCTTCCCCTTGGTATTGGTATTCATATAGCTGATAGTAAATTTTATTATAATTTCATTTCCTCTGGTTCCTACAGAGCCCTGTCATTGGCATAGGAACTCTGTTCCTTGTGATCATTGGGTGCAGTCAACCCTTAGTCTTATGACCTTCACAGGGTTTTACTGTTAGTGCCGTCCGTGATTCTTTTCTTTGAAACTCAAATATGCCACTGAAATGTTTACATTCTAGACAACAGAGTAAAACAATGCACAGGCATCTTGTTTGAGAGATATTCAGTGATAAAGAGTCAATGGAGAACAGAAGATAATGGTAAATTAGAGCAGAGTATAAGCTATATTATTAATGGTCTTTTGAAAAAATAGGACGTGAAAGCTAGGGTCCAGTTTCTATGAGGTCTTTGAGTTCAGGCAAGATTAAAATCTAAGGCCTTGCAAATTAATTACTAACAGCTACATTTTCCTAATTGCTATTATGTATTGTGTTTGGCACAATATAAATTACTTAATCTTCACAGTGATTCTGAGGTTTATTATTACCACCCTGTTTTATAGGTGATGCAGCTGAGTAAGATACAGGCATTTGGTAATTTGCCCAAGATCACTCCAGTAAGTGGCAGAGTATTTCTAGGCAGATCTCTGATTCCAGAGTTTAGTTTCATTGTGCTCTTAATCCTGCTACTGTATGACCCCTAATTTTTTTAAAAAATTATTATCCTGAGTCCTAGATTTGATTACTTACAAGGTATGATTTCTTAGGATAAACATTGGTTTTGGCTAGTTTGCCAAAGAAGATTTAAAGGGCAAATCTGAGGAGGATTAAAGTTTTTATATTGTTAATTTCAGTAAATCACTTTGGGCATTACCAAATACACCTTAACACTATACCAAGTACTAATTAGCACTATACCAAGTGCTAAGGTGTATTTGGAATTACATTTCTGAAAGTTTGGAATGAGGTTGGAATAAGTTTGGGGAATCTTTAATGTCAGTGGTCATTTCAGCCCTTTACTATTACCAGTATGTGCTCTTGGCCCATGTTATGACTTGATTTGAAAATATGACTAGGACGAAATTGCAGCTTTTTAAAAGTATGCTAGCCAGCTTATTGGCATCCAAATAAATGCCCTTTAAAGTTGCCTTGGGCAGACATAGGCATTCCAAGAATGTAATTGCTCAGAAAATATTTGGAACTTCTTTAAAATTGCTTTCAGAAACAATATGAGTAACAGAGATGCAGCCCTCTTCAGTATGTTCACGTTATTTGCCACCCTTGAGATGAATCTTGGCTGTTTCCAAGAATTATCTTTTTCCCAGTGTATTAGAGATTTGCCACCCTTATTCACTTTAAAGGCAGTCATAAATAAAGCATGTCAAATAATAGGTGCAGAGTATTTAGAGTAAGTAAATGACTATGGTGGAGAGTGTTTTGAAAAAATTATCGTACCTCATTCAACATTTGAGGCACAGGGAGAAAGATACTATCTCAACTCAGGAGCAGGCATCAGTGGGAGATGTGTAAATAGTTGATAAAATATTACAAAAACCTTAAAAGATATACATACTATAGTTATCCATCCCTATTCAAATGATATTGAAAGGAGCAGTGAGGAGTAATTGGAGGAACGAGGGCTCCTTTGAATTTAGAGTTTACTTCCTTAGATAATAGGAGATAAATGTGTGTTGAGCTTCCACTACATTCTAGGCATTGTGCTGGTATGAGGTTTTGCTGCCCCTTGTATTTGTCAGGATGGGGACTTCAAGCCTCCAAAATACTGTTGGGTTTCTCAGTGGATAGTGTTGGTGACTGATATACCTACTTGTTAAAATGATTCACACTTGGTTCCCTATCTGCACCAAATGTTCTAGAATAGCACTGTCCAATAGGAATGTAATGAAAGTTAAATAAATATAAAATTTCTAGCAGGTACATTATAAAAGGTAAAAATATACAGGCAAAATTAATTTTAACCAGTAAGGTCAAAATATTTTAACATGTAAACGATAAAAGGATTATTAATGAGATATTTACATCATTCTTTTCATAATTGAGTCTTCAAAATCTGGTATTTTACACAAAGTACCTCTCATTTTGGACAACACACATTCCAAATGCTCAATAGCACAAGTGACTAGCAGCTACTATATTGGGCAGTGCAGTTCTAGAACAATATGGAAGAGAGTGATTAAAGTGGATAGGATGCAAATGGCAATGTTTTAAAAGTTCATCTGTAAGTATACACTATCTGCTTACCTACATTACTCTAGAACTAAATAGGTATCACTTTTGTGTATCAAAGCTGAGGCTTAGAGTGTCTAGCCAAGCTTACAAAACTATCATCTTTTTCTTCTCCCTTTGAGGTTAAAAAAAATACACTGCCGCCCCAACTGGTTTGGCTCGGATAGAGCGTCGGCCTGCGGACTGAAGGGTCCCAGGTTCGATTCCAGTCAAGGGCATGTACCTTGGTTGCAGGCACATCCCCAGAGGGGGGTGTGCAGGAGGCAGCTGATGTTTCTCTCTCATCGATGTTTCTAACTCTATCCCTCTCCCTTCCTCTCTGTAAAAAATCAATAAAATATATTTTAAAAAAATACACTTCCTATCAAAGCTTGAAATCTAACTATTAATCAGCAAACGACCTTGGTTGAGGGCCCCATAATTAAAAGCTATGGAAGCCCATCACAGTTGAGCATTATGTAGCAGCTAATAGCGATTGTTACATTTATTTAGCGCAGGAACAAGCACCCAGTGTGTGGACTCTCTTAGTTCAGTTATGTTAAAATTATACAAATAAATCATTTTCACATTTGAATATTCCTGGCATTTGTTAGAAATGGCTAACCTGAATTTATAATCTGTTTCTACATTGTAGTTAGATAGTGATAATATGTGTTTTTAAATGAGTTTCTTGGGGTAGAAGGGGAAAGTTGACAACATGAGAGTAGATTCCCAGATCAGACTTTAGCCCCAGTGAAAGCAAGTATTTCCCAACACTAAGTCTCTGATGCCATTGTTGAAAGTTTTATTTTGTTTGGCAACATAGAGTAAAATATTAACTCCTGTGAAGAAAGAGCCTTTGGATTTGAGGTTTTGGAAAATGCTGATTCATTTGGCTTGACTTCTCTGTGTGAATATAACAACATTTTCTATGGCCTTTTCATTTAAGAATCTGAAAAACCATTTAGTAGTAGATGATGAATGTTGGTTTCTAGCATGGATGACTCAAATCTTTCTCTGGCATGTGAATCTGCTTTACTTGAAAGCTGCCAGAGGAGCATACCACCCAGCTTATTTTTTTCCCCCAGAATTAAATTAAAGGTGAAAATTCAGGAAGAGTCATTCTGTTTTGTTTTGGCGCTGCCCTTTCCTAGGAGAAGGAAAAAGAATAGTATCTGAGGCTATGTTAGCACAAAGGTACAGGATTGTTCCTAAGAAGCAGAGACCAACTTGGCAATTAAACCCAAATTCTGCCCAATTGCTCTAATGAAAAAGAAACTTCTGTCTAATAATGATGCCTTATCCAGATCTGACTAATCCTTTTTCTCCACATTTGGGGGCCATCTACATTTTCAAACAAAAATTATTCAGCCTAATCTGCCAAATAGAAATACATTTCAAGCTTCATTTTAATATAGATATCTAGCAGTCCTTCTACAGACATGGGCACTAACAGGGTTAGTGTTATTTTGTTTTAAAAGTCTGAAGTCAAAATCATCTTAAAAAAAAAAAAAAAAAAAGCTGGAGAAGCCCTTATTCTTTCTCTAAGGTTTCCCTTCAGTTCAGATTACTGGTCCAGATTTGATTTTGAATACCTTGTAAGTTAACAAACTGTTCAGCATATATTAACTAGGACTAGCCTATGCCTTATTTCCTGTTTAAAATCCTATATAATAAAACTCTAATATGCAAATCGACTGAACAGCAGAACGAAGGGTCACTATGATGCGCACTGACCACCAGGGGGCAGACGCTCAACGTGGAAGCTGCCCCTGGTGGTCAGTGTGCTCCCACAGGGGAGCCAGGCTCATAGCTGCCAAGCGCAGTGGTAGTGGTGAGAGGGTGCAGGCCGGGCTGAGGGACCCCTCCCTCCCTCCAGTGCATAGAATTTTGTGCACTGGGCCTCTAGTGCTATTTATAAATTTGAGCTTAGAAATTCAGGTGTGTAGAGTTCTGACTGAAATTTTTGTGGATTACTAAAATATCTACCTATAATTATTCCAGAGAGGTACTGTGGGACCCACTAGACCAGCACTGTATACACACTCTGATTCCATTGAAAGGTTGTGAACTGCCAGCATGATCCTGAAAGGAAAGAGGTGGAGAAATGGTTGTAGATTGAGATTAATAGATGTGTTGAATCCACTGGGCTGGGCCATTTCATATTTGTCCTCTTATTTGAGACCAAATAAGTAATTGGGGGGCAATTGAATATTTGCATTTTGTAACCAAAATAAAATCAGAGGTTAAGTGACATGCTCCAGGTCCCACTGCTAGTATTGATTATCCAAAAACAAAACAA